GAGAGTGGCGCGTGAAGTGGGCCTCTAAACTCATCAAACTCAAAGTTGGGACCGAAGTTGACGGAGCTCACCGATTGGCCTATCACGACAATGACGTCGCGCTTTTTTCGCTGACGTCCAATAGGAGCACTTCGCGAACTTTCTGCTCCAACCTTACGTTTGACGAGTTTAGGGCCCCTGTCCGTGGCGCGGAGCACGCGAGCTCGGCCGCTCGTCCATCGTCCAGAGCGATGAGGGAAGATCGTGGAATCACGGTTGCCGAAGTGGTGTTTATCGCTGTTTCAATCAGACCTGAGCGCGTCGCGTTGAAGCGAGCAAACGAGCAGATAAGAAAGGATGCGCACTTGTGATATTCTCAGTGGGCCCGAGAACGCTCCGAGAACGCTCGCCAAGGATCAAACAAGGTCTTGGATCAAAGACACAACCAGCCCCGTCCGATTCCAACCATGATTTGTTTTCACGAGCCCATCGCGCGGTATCACACGGGCACGGCCACTCAGACTTGTACACGTTACTGAAAAATAGTAAGGAATTACAATTACAATTACTCAAGGTTAAATTGTAATTTATTACAATTACAATTACCCTCCCATAAAAGTAACTGACCGTTACTCCAAAAGGTAATCCGTTACTTTCGTGGCGTTACTTTTAACATTATTTTAGGAAATACTCAAGTAGGAAATAAAGGCAAGAGGGTCATTCAAGTTCTTATCGTTGCAATTTGTTCCATTTAATGACCTTGAGTATTTTGAGCAACACTGGCTCTCGAAAGTCTTGTCAGACATTTTGCGTTATTTCTTACTCAATATGTCGACTGCTACGCTGAACACCATTTGAAATGAGGCGCTAGATGGGAGTGCCACATTGTTCCTCACGAACGCTTCATGCTCTGCATTGAGCTTTTTCAGCGAAGCAGTGGAAGTACTATTTACCTCGAATGTAAAGCAAGTCTTTCAATTCAAGCTTTATTTTCCAGATATACACTGGAGGGACCTCCAGACAAAAAGCTGCTATGTGAGCAGCTTGACGGGGTCTGGGGTCCTGTAACAAATGACAGCAGCAACTTCGCGAAAATATCCTATGTACATTCTGTAAAGTATATAATATCACAAATTAATACATTTCTCACGCCACAACGTCAGACCAGCATGTAAAAAAAAGAAAAAAAGAATCATTTCTTATGATTTTAAGCAAAGTATGTGCGAAGTTTATTTTTAGGAAGAGTAAAAGCATTGCTACTATGAAGATGCCATTTATTTAAGAATGTTGGAATGTTGTAGTGAAGAGACTGAAGATTGTAGTTTGTGCAATTTCGAGGAACCAACCATTTCTCTGGAAAACGTGTATTCATTGTGCTTTCATGTAAAGTTAGTTCGGAAGTGCAATATAAAAAATTCATGAACGTAGAAGATGAGAAGCGGATTGAATGAAGTAGGCGGTACTCATAGAAATGTTCTACACGAATTACTTTGTATTTATGAAATAAGGATTCAGTATGATAGTTATACGGAACATCCGCAATAAAACGCAATATCTTTTTTGAAGTAATAGAATGCTATTTAAGTTTGTCTTCGTAGTTGTTCCCCATACCAAGTGACAGTAATTCAAAAGAGAACTGAATAAGGCGTAGTATATTTTTAGCTTAATGTTTACCGGCAAAAAACTACGGCACCTAGCGACTGCCCCCACTACTTGAGAAAGTTTTTTCGTAAATATTCAATGTGGTAATTCCACATCATATGTTCAGAGAAGTACACGCCAAGAGTTTTGTGTTGATGTACTATTTCGATTGACGCGTTTCCAATCACTAGGGGATTTGTAATATTTACTAATTTATTAACGGGTCTAAATAGAATTGCTTTTGACTTTAATGTGTTAATTTTTAAACCATTGACATCTGACCAAAAAAAAAAATTTCTAATACGCAATTTGCCCTTCTTATAAGCTCATCAACGTCATTACCGGAAAAAAGAAGACTCGTATCATCTGCATAAATTATAAATTGAGCTTGATCAGTAATGTTTACAACATCGTTTATATAAGCATTAAATAATAAAGGTCCCAGGATACTGCCTTGTGGAACACCACAAACAATGTTCGAGAACGGTGAGCGTTGACCGTCAATAGATACACTTTGCTGGCGATGCTCAAGGTATGATTTAAGCAATTCGAATGATATGCCGCGAACCCCATATTTATAAAGCTTAGAAAGTAGCTTTGTGTGATTGAGGCAATCAAAAGCTTTACTATAATCGATGAAAACAGCAAGTGTGAGCAGTCGTTTTTCAATATTTCCAAGTATAATTTCTTTCTGTAGTAACAATGCCGATTCAGTAGATTTACCTTTTTGAAAGCCAAATTGAAACTCTGTTTGTATAGAATGTTTTACGAAAAAATGTTCAATACGTTTAAATATAATTTTTTCTAGTCCCTTAGAGAAAATAGGAAGAATAGAAATCGGTCTATAATTACTCAACATGTTTTTATCCCCTCCTTTAAAAATAACTGAGATTTTAGCTAGTTTCATATTTTCAGGAAACTTGCCAGAAGCTAAAGACAAATTGAATATATATGTTAAGCATGGCGAGATTATATCTATAATAAATTTTATAGGTTTTATCTGTAAATCATCGATATCACAGCTCTTACTATTTCTTAACCCAATAAAAGTATTAAATATTTCTGTTTCATCTGTAGGTTTTAGGAACAAACTGTCATTGATTTCGTGAACAAACGATACAGCATTGTCACTATGCGGTCTGGGTGTTATATTTACGAAATAGTCGTTAAAAAGTTTTGCCAAAGAGACTCCAGACACAGTTTGGCCATCTACAATTAAGTCACCTATTTGTTTTGAGATTGTCCCGCGGTTCAGAGCTTCATTAACTTTTTTCCACATAATATCAGGTCGCTGTTTGTCAACGTCATTAAACATTTCTTTGTAGTACATATATTTCGCTTTTCGCAATTCAGCGGTTAACTTGTTTCGAAATTTCTTAAAGATGACTAATTTGTTTAAATCCCGTGACCTTAAAAACGCTTTATACAGACGGTCTTTTTTTTGCATCATTTTGATATGGACTGGAGTAACCCAAGGTTTCCTAATTTTCTTTGATACAGTAACTGTTACTTTCGGAAAGTGCAAATCGTAAAGCATCTTTAATGTTTGAATAAATTTATTGTATGCATTGTTTACATCTAGGAGAGAATAAACAAAGTCCCAATCTTGGCTTATTACGGCATTACGAAATGCGAGAATATTAGAATTTGAAATGTTCTGAAAGGTTATTGTATTTTTATTTTTATTTACCTGTTTCTTGAAATCGTGATTATAAAATGACAGAAATATTGGATTGTGGTCACTGATGTCAAAACTTACTGTGCCAGCAACTTTAACGTCTGTATTAGCATTAGTGATAAAAAGGTCGATGGAATTAGAAGTAGATAGAGTTACTCTAGTCGGAGATGTGATGACATTTGTAAATCCGGCGGAGTTTAGTGTAGTCGTTAGTCGTAAAGATTGAACCGAATTTTCAAGTATATTGACGTTAAAGTCACCCCCAGAATTAAATTATACTTATTTACTGACACAAATTCTAAGAATTGCTCAAGAAAGGAAACAAAGTTTTCAAAGTTTGCTGCTGGCGGGCGATATAAAACAGAAAATATATTTTTTCCTTGTCTTATGGTTAATATCTCGTAGTCGTTTGTGATTTTTGAATAACTATCCAATAGCTCCGCATGAAAGTTATGTTTGAGGTAAATTGACACACCACCACCACGCTTGTTACTACGTCGTAAAAGTAATGTTCTTAACCATCTAAATTAAGCATATCAGCGTCTTGCTGATACCATGTTTCAGAAAACATAATAGTATCAAATGATGTTTGAATTTCATCGAAAAGTGAAAAAAGTTGATCAAATTTATTTTTTATAGACCGTGCATTTAAGTGAAAGACCGTTGTAACAGATGGGTGTGTAAGGTGCTTACGGATTTCGCTAGGCAACACATATTCCACGTACTCCATGAAAAAAAAAAACACAAAAAAAAAAATCCAGAAATAATAACATGCCACAGAGGCACTGATTACGCTAACTAATCTTAACAAGGTCAGCTTCGCTAGCAATGGTGATGATAGGTGCGTGTTCAGCTTTACGAGCAAGGATTTTGCCATTTTGTACCCAGACAAATTTCCAATTGCATTGCCGCTTCTTTGTTACCGCCATCCCAAGGATTCGTTTGAGAGTTGCGCAAAGATGTTCATTCACAAAGATGGGTGCTTGCGAAGGAACGCCTAGGTCTGAGTTTGTAAGTCGTTTCTTTTTTGATTTTCCGAGCACCGCGTCACGTTTTTTCCGGTTCATAAACTGCACAATGATGTTGGACTTTTCGGCGTCTCGAGTTGGTACACGATGACATGCGGCGATATCAGCACACGTGATCGGCTCGCCGATCGCACCCCCCAGTTTATCAAGCATATCGTAAAGGTTTTCCTGATTGCGCTTCTCGACTCCCTTTATCTCAATGTTTCCGTTCCTAGAATACTGTTCGCAATGTGTTAACCGTTCCTGGCATTTCTTCAGTTCTTCCTCCATTGCATCACACTTTAGGCAAAGATTTGCCTAGTCCTTTTTCAGGTTTGCGTTTTCTCTCATGGCGGTTTGAAAGTCCCCCTGATTTCTTCAAACGTGGTATTCATGAAGGTCATGCTCTCTTGCACCACCTTTCAACTCTGTTCGTATTACACGGATATCTGTCCGTATGTCTCTTTCCAAAGATTCACGTAAATTCTTAAATTCTTGACGAAATTCCTCTTTGAAATCATTCAGTATTTTTACGAAATCCTTTGCCATTCAAATAAGCAAAACAGCAATCGAAGGACAGGGAGTAAAGGAACGCACTTTTAAAAGCGTTTACAGAAAAAGGAGGCAGTGCAAGTTTGGCAGCGGCGACGTAAGACCTTGCTGAAGTTTGCAAGTAGAAAGAAAAGTACACAAACCTGCAAAACAGCTGGTTGTAATCGTTGCTCTTATCCGTCGCCGCTGCCAAGTGCCAGCATACAAGAAGGCAGTCTTCTTTTGTAGTGCAGCGCAGGCGACACGGGACGGTCTTGACCAATGGCTGTTGATCCTATTTGATGCTCCGTCACGCTGCCGCTTGATGGTTGCGTAGGCTTGCGCAGGGAAAACTGGCTGGCTCAGGAAAACGGTGAAAAGGAAGTCGTTGTTTGTAGTGCAGCCCAGGCGACACTGGACGGTCTTGACCAACGGTTGTGGTCCCGGTGCGATGTTCTGTCACGCTGCCGCTCGGTGGTTCCGTGGGCTTGTGCCGGGAGAAACTGGCTGGCTCGGGAAAACGGCCTGCAAAACAGCTGGTTGTAATCGTTGCTCTTATCCGTCGCCGCTGCCAAGTCTTCGTCGTTGCAGCCGTTGCCTGCTATTCGAGAGACTTGGTAGATCGTTCCGATACCTCCGATACCCACGATGTCGGTACCCGATAACGATATGATGCATGCGCAAAGACGGCGGCGAAGTATCGGATGTCGTTATCGGAGTCATCAGACCGATCTACTAAAATTCTCCATTGTCAGAATCGCGAAGCTGCGGAAGTCATCATACATCTAGCCAAGAGTAGAATAAGAATTGATTTATGTCCATCTTACTATACCGACATTTATTGACAGACATTTCAAAACATAGTTCAAACAGTAAGGTGATAATTAAATAATAAATAAGGTTTGGCTCGATATTCTTGTTCCTTTGGGTCTGAACAGTTCGAGCCTCGGTTGAGACGTTGGTGAATAAAAAAAAAGTTTCCAGTATACAAATATAAGTAATAAAAGAAAAATAAGGACACTCATATCAACAATTAATTAGAACTTCGGTTAAAACAAGGAAATGTAAACGCACGTTTGCCGTGTGTACCTTTCTTGGTGCCGTTCAAAAACGCACGGCGCACGAACCGACTGCAGTTTACTCCGGTGTTCTCCAGATAGACGTCCGCTGATGCCGCGGGCAGCGAAGGGCAGAGTACTAAGGAAGCCGCGCTATGGCCCCACTCACGAGTTTCACTCTCTCCCCAAGCCCAGAATATCAAGTCTACGTCAGCCACCATTATGTTTTATTTGTGAAAATATCTGCTTGAGATAAGGTGCGTCCTGCTGGGGCAAAACAGGAAGAAGAAAGAAAGACTATTACCATTTTCCAAGTGCTCGCAGAAAGCTGACTCACAAAAAGAGTGACTGAGATGCAGACAACCTGGCTAGAATTCACAAATAAAGTGGTCCAACCATAGAAGTTGGACTACACAAAAGTAAGTAGCTTTTAAAACAGGGTCTAATAATGTGAAAGATGCAGATAAAAAAATCCTGTTTTCCAAGAGAAGATGATAAGTGTGCAGCAACGAACGAGGGTGCTTGTGGCAATAACACCTCCACATATTATCACATCTTTTTTAGTAGATTTTAGGGTAGACCGAGCGTTGTCTCGTGTTGTGACATTATGAAAATGGTTAATGAAAAAACAGTTAGGGCGCAGGCGAGCTGGTGTAAGTTTACCATTTTTTACCACCTGAGACTGGGTGGAAGAAACACGACGACGTCTTAACATTGAGACGTCGTCGTGTTTCTTCCACCCAGTCTCAGGTGGTAAAAAATTAAAATGGTCGTAGTCACTATAACCGAGAAGGACATTGTTAATTCTTTTCTGTGGACTTACTGCCTCGAGATTCTCGAAGAGGCACACAATCACTTGGTGTCCTTCTCTCCCTGTTTTCGATCGCAAAGAAAAAACAAAGGGACTAAAAAAAAGCGGATATAACTTGCCCCCCCCCTTTTTTTTGTAGAAGTGTTTTTTGTTTTTTTTTAACATTGTTGTTACGGTCTAAAAAAACAAAAAAAAAAAAAAAAACAGGGGCTTGGTGTTGCAAAAACAGGCTTTGCGGAACTGAAGAGTGCCAAGCCTCCCTTTGGGCACTGGTCAATTCGCGTGACAATGTCACTGCGCTCGACTCTACCAAAAAAAAAAAAAAAAAAAAACTAATTTAGAAAGGGGGAAAGGAGGGGGGCGGTTCTGAAAAAAAAAAAAAAAAGTAACGGATTACAAGAAATCCGTTACGTGAAAAATGTAAGGGAATTACTTTAAAATTACTCTAGAAAATATGTAATTATTCCGTTACTAAATTACTCATAAATGTAAGGGATTACAAGTAATTTCGTTACTTGTAACGGATTACGTACAAGTCTGCGGGCCACTCGATTAGGACTCCCCTTGGGAGCGGCCTGCCGTATGCCTCACTTCGCCGGTGAGAGCGATAGTTCTACTTTACCCCGCAGGCGCCAGCCGTGGCGCTCGTTATCGGTGAGAGATAGAGTTCCTGTATAGGCTCTTCAAGGGGTATCCACACGAAGGAGAACTCCGCGGACGGATGTCGTGACGTCAACAACCCGGGAAACTCCGTCCTCGGCTCCGCCGCGTGCACCTGCGGAGCTTTCAAGCTGACAGCACGAAGCCTCCGCGCCTCCTCCACGGAGGAGAACGGGAGAACGGCGCCGCGAGGCGTCAAAAAGGAATGACGTATGTCTCACGTGATGCGCGCTCCGCGGAGGAAAGGAGCGGATTTCTCCTTCGTGTGGATACCCTAGAGCACTGCACGGGCCCGGGCCAGCCCGAAAGCCCGAGCCCGGCCCGGCCCGCGGGCCGGGCTCGGGCCGGGTAGCACGTATTTTCTCGGGCCCGGGCCGGGCTCGGGCTTGAACAAAAAAGTTCTCGGGCCGCGCCGGCCCGGGCCGGCCCGGGCCGGCCCGGGCCATGCCTGGGCAATCTTGTGCCGTAAATCATAAATTGTTGTTGATAGTAAGAAGTTTGCTCATTAATCTTTTAGCTTCATTGAATACAAAAAAAGCGAAGTGCAAATTCACTACAGCGTCGTTAAAAATAATAACTAAAAGACGTCTTGAAGCTAGAAAGCCTTCAAGCTTTTTCCGTGTGAGCGAGGGTTCAGTGTTATAAATTGTAAACAAAATGAAGTCCCAGACATATGCTTGTCAACCTGTCTGATTCATCGCTCTCAAAAATATCTAGTTCACTAATCGGAAGATTTAGAAAAAAGGTACGCAAGCGCTTCGGGTACCGTAAAAACAGCGTTGGGATGTAAAACCTATGGCGATGCTAATTTTAGCTTGCCCAAAGTGCTTGAGTACGTTATTCTAAGACTCCCTTATTGCACAGAGCGCGACACTATATTAGCGCGAACAAGCGATCGTCGTGTTTTTATGTTTATCTTATAGAATCAAAACGCTGTTTTCAAAACTATTAGTGTCTTTAGAAGTGCTCATCTGGGCCACAGACCTAAGCGGTATACTTTGGTGCCTACTAACACCATTTCGAAGTAAAATTCGAAAAAAGAGCCAACGTCGTGTTCGCGGTATCAGTGTCGCGCAGTGTACATAGTCCGTTCCGCGCTTGCACGTTTTGGGAACCATCTTGAAAAAAACTTTTTGAGGGGTTAAGTAGGAATATATTAAAATTAAGCTTGCCTGAAAGGGTTTTTTTATTTTAAAAACGCGTTGACATGGAAAGCTGCTTCAGAACATATTCTTAAACAGAAAAAGTGCTCAGACCAGGCTTAGAAGAATAGAAACTTTTTGCGAAGAGGTTGCGATGTGCAGGGCCTTATAAAAGTAGGTTGAAACGGGACGCGTTCAAACGCAAAAGGTGTTTCGGAAACTGGTTCAAATAAGAAGGGCGTTTAGGGAATGGGTCGAAACAGGACAAATTCAAACGAGAAGGGCGTTTAGGGAACTGGTCGAAACGGGACGGGTTCAAACGGGAATGGGTTGTTTCGGGCTACAGTCATCGGGCCGGGTCGGGCGGGGCCTAGAAATTAAAAATTCTGTCGGGCTCGGGCCGGGCCCGGGCCGTGTCTCTTCCGGGCCGGGTCGGGCCGGGCCTAGAAATTAAAAATTCTGTCGGGCTCGGGCCGGGCCCGGGCCGTGTCTCTACCGGGCCGGGTCGGGCCGGGCCTAGAAATTCCGGCCCGTGCAGTGCTCTAGGATACCCCTTTACGGGAGCCAGAGTTGCGCATTTGTTTTCCCCGCGCCGCCACGCCGCTATTCGCCGAGATCCATCGCGTGAGGAGCAAAGCATCCGGTGGCGTGCAAGAAAGCCACCTTTACGGTCGCTCCGCCGACGTTTCTCTTGCCCCGGCGTATGTTTCCCTGCTTTCCGCCTCCTTTTCCTCCTCTCCTTCTAAGCGTTGTGAACTTCTTCTTCTAAGCGTTGTGAAGTCCTCCTCTCCTGTTTCTGTTTTCCATGCGCGGCGCCGCTATTCGCCAAATTTAGTCACGTGAGGAGCAAAGCATCCAGCTCGTGCGGGAAAGCCGGCGCTACGGCCACGCGCCGAGGCTGAATGCGCAACTCTGCTACCGTAGGTAGCTATACAGGAACTCTAGTGAGAGATAGAGTTCCTTTCGGGAGAGCATATCGAGGAACTCTATACTTCGTTTCACGTTAGTATGTACTTGTTAGCCGCGCGTGCTAAAAACGCGAGATAGTTGCTTCGAAGGAAGCCTCGGCGGCTGCATGAGCGCTCGTGCAGCGAGTGCTCCAGTCAAGGCAGTAAAGGCTAGCCGCTCGCGCTAGCACAGCGTTCGCGGTTAGTCCATGCTAAGGTAAGACGAAATATAGTGAGAGAGGAGCAGTACGCCCGGCCCGGCCCGGTGTGGCTATTTAGATTTTTTTTCGTGAAGCCGCAAGTCTTAATGGAAACGAGTGCCAGATTGCATGAATGATTTGACAAATCTGTGTAAAATAAAAACACATGATTCTTTCTGCGAAAAGCTCACTCAGCTGCAGGCTGCGCGTTAAAGCTGCATTCTGCAGGCAGTATGAGCGAATTGTCGTTTTCTTGTTCGTGTAACTGTTGCCCCGTTTCTATTACCACTGTAATATAGGAGTTATAGTTGGATATAGCTAGGCCGTATGATTTCCGGTTTTAACCGACGCTCGAGCACGCGCGAGCTGTGCCATTCGCGAGCTGTGTCCAGAAGTACAATATAAAATCGGATTCCGCGTGCATAACTTCAGAAATATAAACTTCATTGTTCACAAAAAAGAAAAAAAAAAAGAACAGACCAAGGGAGTCATATAGTTCACAAGCAGAATACCTTTCGGGAAAGAGGCTTCCGCGAAAGCCTCAATATATTCTCTAGTGGGCTGTTTAGGTCACCAGCCCAGTTTGCCAAAAAAGGTCTGAGGAGTTTTCTGAGAAAGAGCTCGCAGGAGGCTCTTCGCTGTGGCAGGGGCCTCGGCAGTTAACACACCACATCAGCGGGCAGTCCATAAGGCGTGGAAGCACAGCGCTCGAGAGGACCTGGCAAATCCTTCCACAACCGCGAATCTCTGCCGACTGTAGAGCCCTCTCGACAAAGGTGCAGACGAGCCTGCACAGCCAGACAGCTTCAGGTCGTGAATAGCTGAGTCCTCCTTGGTCAAGGCTAAACATGGACTGATATGCTCTGTCATTCTATTCATTTCCCTTAAGTTGCGCTTGCATTCAGGACACGTCACCTGCAAAGTTTAGCGGGTTCTACACAATAGTCTTCCTTGCTTTCACTGAGAAATTCTTATTGCTTTGCTAGGTTGAATGTTTCAGCTAGTTACTTTGAAATTACGACAATTTCTACAAATAAAAATGGTCACCTTTTGTTCGCAAACGAAGGCCAAGTAGCCAGCCATGTAAGTCAGCGGTACGAACTCAAGTTCGGAAGTGACATTATTGTACTTCATCAACTGCAGGATTTCCTGTTTCACGAGTGGAGTTGGCACATTTAATCGCCGTCTGGCACTCAGAACTAGAACGCGCATTTACATTTCCGGCAGCTTCCAAAATGCCAACAGAAACCACACACGCGAGCGCAGAGTGACACTATGATATTTTCGCCGAGCACAGCTGTGCATAGGT